ATCTCAATCATCTCACAATTAAAGTATTTAATACAGTGACTATGTGCGCCTATGCAATTGATCCTACACGCTACAATTAACATTCATACAAGTTGATCAGGCCACAATTATATAAACTGACAAGACTTCAAACATTCTCAATATCAAGTTAGATCAAGCCATTGCTTACTTGAGAAGTAGAAAATCGATGAAAATTGTAGAATCACGCCCTATTCCAGCGTTGCATCTCAGTTCTCACTTCTCACAAGCCTGAAATTGAATCATTCACAAATAAGGCTGCCCCAAAATCAAATTTATGGGAAATTTCTCACTAAAGTGAACCGATCATCTAATCTTGTTCATTTAGTATTTTGAATTTTAAAAGCAAGAGACAAAAAGGCGTCACATATTTTCACTCTTCAATCGGCCCAAATGCCCAATGCAACTCGCGGCTGGCCTAGAACATATTATCAAATTGATAAACAAATATGTAAGGAAAATGATAGAAGTGTTTAAATGGTATAAAAAATGGTAGAAGGGGAAGGGGTAAGCTACGTACCAGCAAAACTCCAGAGACCAGAAGAAGCATGTTGTCGCCTCGCAAACCTAAACTACCAGCAGGAAGCAGAACTCTAGAAGACGCACACTAGGAGGAAGAAGAGTGGGAGGCTACACTGGAAAATACCACTCTGGCGTCGGCGTCGACTTGAAGAACGATTGGATTGGGGTGGATTCTTGTAGAGTTTGAGAGTTGAGAGCGGGAAGGGAAGGAGAAGGGAACTACTGTGATTGAATTTCTTTCGTAGTTTAGGTTACGAAAAAAACAATGGGCCAAAATTTAGATGCCCTCTAGTGTTGGGCCAGGCTAATTAAAAAAAATGTAGGCCAACAAATGAGGCCCCCTCCACCTTTGGGCCTGAGGGGGTGGTCTCATTTGCCTCGCCTCAGGCCGAGCCTGGACATTTCTATATCTATATAAAAGATACCAACATATAAAAAAATATTAAACGAGGTAGGACATCTAAAAACCATGTGAAGTATATTTATATCATTTATCGAACCTCATAATGCTTATTACTACGTGCTAACGATTTTGTTATCTCTCTCGATGACAATAAAATCCACAAACAATTCAACTAATGGCCAATTAATTGAAAAGCAACCTAAACCATAATAAACATTCAAATAAATTAATGTCAAACTAATAATTTAAATCAAAAATATCGTAATAAAGGTTCATCTCATCCTAGCAATTTAAAAATCTAGCCTAACATAATATCGAAATTAAACACACAAAAGTGGAATGACATCACCACAAATTGACGAAGCGTGATTAATTATTCAAACTGAAGTTGTCGTGCGCCAAAAACTTGCGTGTATGCATGTCTCCTTGCAATTCTTGCATGCATTTCTCTACTTCGGGTTCCTCTGTGTACATATAATTAATTCAGCTGCTGGTTGTAGTTAATGGAAAAACAAATCCAATTCCTGCCTTTGTTTCTAGCATATGTTTCTCTATTTGCGTGTATATTCTCCTTTCGTCAATATATATAACCTAAACTTTTAATCGAACCGAAAGTCCAAGTGGATCTGATGCCCAAATAAATTAATGTTTGCTTCTAAGTAATCAATTATTTAATGTAATGCAAGTTAATTATTGAGTCCACTTAATTGTGCAACTAATGCCAGTTTAGTCACTGTACTTTGGATTTTACCATTTTTCATAATCTCTTGCTTCTTTCCTTCAATCCTTTTTTTTATTCATAGAGTTTTACCTATTAAACATAAAATACAATAATTTAGAATATATTTTGTTAAAAGATTTATCAAATATCGTTATTTTAGACTCCGAATATATGTATAAAATACGCTTATCAAATATGATTTGTTGACCTCAAGTTTTTTTGTACCTCCATCATGGTAAACAAATCTTAAAGCCTCCTGCGTCCACTAAGCCGATTATTGACCATGGGATGAAAATATATATGGCCTCATCCACACAGTTGGAACTTCGTGTCAGTGGCATCAATCAATCATAAGCATTTAATGCTAATACCATTTTTGTAGCCCATAATTCTGACAAAAGGCTTAGACTTGATCTAATTTGCTTGGTAGGGCGGCGGCAACAGCGAATTGTCACATCAATTACTTATTATAGATTGTACAACAGATCTCATGTCGGCCCCTTACAGCATCTCCCATTAAGAGGGTTCGGTTTGATGCAGGAGTCAACTGTAGCCTAATGGGTTCGACTTTTCATATTGATTCGGTCTCTTCATGGAGTTCGGCAAATTTGCTCGACAGAATGCTGTGGAGTATGAGCCCAAGTCTGTGTGCCACATAGAATATTCTGGACCCTCCTTAGTCGGGGCATAACATAATTATTTTATATATGTACTGTCAATTTATGCATCTCAATCCACATAGCTAATTATGATACACTTCTCTATTGCATTGTGAGTCAGTTTATCTATGCTTCGAATACAACCCTATGAAAGTAGATTTCTCGTCCTTCGTCCGAACTATATAATCTTTACGGAGACCATTTTTCCATTCATTACTTAGCATACTCAAGCTCATTTCTTCAAGCCTATCTTGAGTTTGAAGGATAGATAATCTACTTCTCACTTGCATCATTCTTGATTTCATACAATTTAAGCCGTTTACACCGGATAATTATTTTTTTAATACTTGTTTTCAAAACTGTATATAAGTGAAGTCGAGATCACGAAAAAAAGAAGCAGCAAAACTCATGGACATAGCCGTTGGATCAATCATTGTGTTCAATTTATATAACATATTTGGTACGTCAAATTGAACATAATAATAATAATAATAAACAAATGTTTCTTTATTTTTAATCATGTTATTTGCAGGGGCGGACCTACTTGAGGACCAGTGAGGACCGCCATCCCCACTTAATTTTCAGATTTCCCGATTTTTCTTTAAATTTTCATATTTTTTTAGTTTTTTTGTCCAGATTTTTTTTCCAAAGTTTTTTTATTTCGTCCCCACTGGACTTCCTTCCTAAATCCTCCCCTGGTTATTTGTAGCATATCAAATAAAACACGTTTTAAATTTTCTCTTTAAGTCGAGACTCTTTCTCATGCTATCGTTTTGGAATGGAAAATGCCATGTGTGCACTCTTTTGTTTATATTATTGCTGATATTACAAGTGTTGGCAAGTGTTGATTGGATGAAAAAGTTGTTAAAAATTTAAATTGTCCAATGTTGTAATGTCATGTCGTAAAATGTAAAAAATGTTGTAAAGAAATTATGTACATGTAGCATGACTGTTTTGAAACAATCATTTTATAAGTATAGGAAATTTTGACAAACAACTCATGGCGTGAAATCGTTAAAAAATGGAAAAAGAGAGAAAAATAGGTCAATCATGCGCTACCACCTCAGCATCAATATGAATTCTGTCGATATTTTTTTGTACTCGTGGCTCTTTTCATTTTAGAATAGGTAAAACAGGTCAAATCAACCGTGTACAACAGCCCTAAAGGATCCATTGTGAGACACAGCACAAGCCTACAAATTTTGATAGATTTAGCTAGCCCATCCATAAATGGGGCTCGGCCTGACACCTTGGACCCAACATGTATTGCTTTTAAAATTAATTAATTTTTCTTTTCCATTTTTGTGGGAAAAATTATACCCACTACCTCTAAAAAATAACTAATTTGAATAACATCCTATAAACTAATAACTTAATCACGTAATTAATACTTTCTAAACTATTAGCCGTGATCCACCACCTTCTCGGCAAATCCGCTGCCACGGGATTTATCTTGAATTATGGAGAGAGTGGGAGCTAGGCTAGGGCGGTCCTCAACTCGATACGGTCCCGTCACCGTTTTCACCGGTCCCGTCCAAAAGTGGAAGAAGAAGTGGGTACACGTAACGCCGTCCAGTTCCAATCAAACGGAAGCCAATGGAAGAGTTAATGGCGTTAATAGCTCTTCACATCTCTTGCTGTACAAATGGACACCGATCACTCCCAACCAAAACAAAGAGAATAATGGTAATGACGGGAACAATGAATTGAAGAACTACAGTAAAGACGACAATGATTCAGTGGAAGAGTAGCCTAAGCGTAAATTTAAGTACATTCCGATTGCTGTGCTGGAAGAACAAGCGAACGAGTCCTCAGATCAATTCGAGGATGAAGCTAAGCCAATTGAAACTGAGATAAATACAGTGGAGACAACCTCCAAGAGTCATGGGCATGATGAAAAGCCTGATATCAATGATATACCGATGGATGATACTCGAGCCCCAGAGGAAAATCCCGTAGAACGTGGAGTCCTGAATGAAACCCCATTGGACTTGAGTTTAGGCTTGAAGGCTAGTGATGTTGAAAATGAATCCAACTCAAAAACAGTTTGATCAAGACAGGCGGAGATAGACAAACTCCAGAAATATTAGGACGATGTGGTTTGAAGCAAAAGAAGAGTCGGATGCTATTCTATCCTCACAGAAAACACTGTTCTCCATTGGCTAATCGCTCTGCTCGAATAAACGAGTAAATGCGAGCAGCGTAGCCTGTATTTTTAATTTGATTTGATACTTCATTTATTGAGTTGATTGCAATTTGTATCGATTCTGTGTCCTCAGAGCTGCAATCAATATTTTTTATACTTTGGTACAATTTAATTTGACAGAATGTATTTGGATTTTTGCACTGACCATTGTTGAATGCAATTTACACCATACTCGTTTGGCCTATCAAAAAAATCTGGTACTCACGTTCTTCTTGCGAATATTTATGCCACAGTAGGATCATGGGAAAATGTTGCAAAAGTTCGAAGACTAATGAAAAATAGTAAAGTGAAGAAGGAACCATGTATGAGTTGGATAGAGGTAAAAGACAAAATATACACGTTTATAGTTTGAGATAGAAGCCATTCTAGAAGTGAAGAGATATATGCAAAACTTGAGGAGTTGGGCCTCTTAATGGCCAAAGCTGGATATGTTCCTATGATAGATATTGACCTCCATGATGTGGGAAAGAGAGAAAATGAACTTCTTCTCTCATACCACAGTGAAAAACTTGCAGTAGCTTTTGCACTGATGGCAACCCACTCGTCAATTTTATATAAGTGACATTGTGTCACCTTTTTTAGGTTTTTGTCACCTTTTAAGTTTTTTTTTCACATTTTAAGAAAATAAAAAAAGTGAAATAATATGTTATATTTTCCTAACATAATTAGGATGTGGATTGGTCTGGACGTGCTGATTATTTTAAGAACGTGATTACTGGTGCTGCACAAATGAATGATGTTATTTTGATATTTGTCACCTTTTTGAGTTTGTGTCACGTTTTTGAGTTTGTATCACTTTTTGAGAGTGTCACTTTTTTTTAGTTTTATCACTTTTTTTGAATTTGTATCACTTTTTTTAAAAAGTAAAAAGTGACATTGTGTCAATTTTTCATTTTACACAGTATTTTTTACTTTCTAAAAACCTTTCATATGATTTTTCAAAATATCCATAATTTTAAGGGTATTTTTATAAGTACCCCTTTTTTTGGGAGAAAGGTCCAGCCTTTTTAAGATTGTTCGAGTGAGCCAAAGAAAGACGGGTTAGCTTCCATAAGTCTTGGGATTCTATTTAAAAAGTAAATAAAAGAGTAATCCAAACTTCTTTTTATGTTGATTATTATTTTTGAATTAAAGCAATATAAAATTCTATCTTTAAGAGTGTGTTTGATGGATATTATTAAGGAAAAAATATATTTTAAATAGTGATATGATGGAGAATATGTGGTTAAAAAGTTAGGAAAAAATATTGATGTGATGAAAAATAATATTTTATTGAAAAATGGATGATTAAAAACGAGTTCTGAAATAATGTATTTTGAAAGAATGTGTGTTAGGGACTAACATTATTGATTAGACCTGATACAACTAGGCTTATGTGGTTAAAACTATTATCAACACAAGATGATAGAAATTGGGTTGTCGGTTACCAAATTAAAGATGAGCAATTATTTATTTATTTATTTTTAATATAAGAATGACCTAATTGTGCCATGGATTGAGACATCAATTATTTTTCGAATCATTCTTAATAAAGATGCTAATCTTTTCTTTTCTTGTCTTAGCATTATTACAAATCTTGCTACAATTTTAGAGATAATGCTCGATTGTTCAAACATTAATAATTTGATTAGTTTTTCAACATAACACATTAAATAAAAAATCACAATGATTGATGAGTGAAAACAAATTAATCAACCCAAGTGTATTATCCTAAACAAATTAGAGGTGATTTTTCTATTATGTATAAAACATCAAATTAAATTTTATTTTCAATAAGTTAAACTATAAATGTTATAAAATATCTCAAAAGTTAGAAAATCATTTTTTCTTTGCTTGACATTTAGGAGATTTGTACCTCAAAAGAAATTATTCGGATTGCGAAACATCATCAAATAGAAAAAGAAATCCGTGGTAGAGGCCACTTGATGATTTGGTTCTCCCATAAACTTTTAATCTTTATTATTAAGCCAGTATACAAATTTGAATTTGCTACGTGCTCCGATGGCATTGGAATGAGAATTTAGCAGCCGTTGCCGGCGGTGGCAGACAAGTGAAAGTGAGCTAACTTTTATCATTTTATGTGGAGGTGGAAAAATATCAGGCTAACAAAAATAAGCCACTAGAGGGCTCTCAAGAGAACTTTCCTGGAGATCGTGAAATGTTTTGACTTTATTCTGGATTCTCCACTTGTACTTGCGATTCTTAAGAATCTCTCACTTTTGACCCCCTTTTAGTGCTTGTTCACAGAACAATTACAAATGCTGTGTTCACAGTATTGGTGTCTCTTTTAGGGGTTGTTCATAAAACAATTACAAGTGCTGTGTTGACAGTATTCGTGTGGATGATTTTTTATTTTTTTCTAACTGTCCAATCAGACGATGATACACATATTCTCCATAAAACTTTTCGGCATGTGTAGCATAGTTCCTTTTAGTGACCTATGTCTTGGAAGGCTAAGCATTAAAAGTTTTCTAAAAACTGAACTAGTGAAAGAATGTTAGTGGAAGTGTCTATGGTACCTTTATTCATATACTACGATAATTCGGCCAACTTCGGAGGGGTACGAGGATTAACGAATGAATTTCAGAGCTTGAATTATGAGTTTTTGTGTATAGATGAATGATGAAAAACGAAGAAGAAATGAAGAAAAGAAAAATAAAATATAAGCACGTGACATGCAAATTCACCTCGCCTAATCGAGTAGATGGTTGAGTTGGTATTCTTTACAGTTTTATTTTAAAAGGTCGGTCTAAATTGCTTCGAAGAACGTGAGAATTTAACCGCAATCCTACTTTTACTATCGCCGAGATACTGAAAATAATAATAAATGTATAAAGGCTTCCTAGAATTTACAATGTATAACCACTTGTCAAACATGCACTAAATTAGAGCATTAATATTTCAGTAGCAGACCGCATCACAAGATTCCTCTCCACTCGAAGACTCGTGAAAGATTCTTTGAACCTTAGGACAGGACCAAGAGACAAGTTTGAAACTCACGTTTTGTTTTGTACTTTCCCATTAATCTTGTCATCATGCTAGAGGTACAAATTACAATGATAGAACACTCAACTTTGTGTAAAATCTCTATTTGGTCACGTACTTTTAATTTATCGCAATTATACCACTGAATTTTAATTTACTTTCAGTTTTAATCACTCCATAAGCCCGTTTTACTGAACTAAAATCCCAACAAATTGGATAGCATATTTACCTAGAAATAGAAGAAACATGATACTTATGTCCCTTAGAACATGGGTTATCAATTACTCTCTTCGTCTGATTTATATAGACCATCTTTCCTTATTTTTTTTTTTTTTTATCACAATTATATAGTCATGTTTCTTTATTGAAAATGTTTTGTTTTATTCTTTTACTAATATACTATTATTTAACTTCCCTAATTATAATCAATTTTAATCTTAAAATTGTACAAATGTAAAGATACATGTTCTTGTAAATTAAATCATTCAATTTCTTTACTACTTCCAACTATAATTTACTACTAATTGTTGATAATTAAATAAGAGTAAATTAGGAAAGTTTTCGGCAAAAAATATTTTTTTCAATAATATTAAATAAGGTTTCTTAATTCGTGTGAAAAAATTAGCATATATAAATGGGACGGGATAGAATAAATTATTTTAAATAATTAATTAAAAAATTATTCAGTGGTATTTTATATGCTACAGTGCCATGTTTGATTGTGCGCCTTCACATTACATATAAAAATGGCAAAAACTTTTGAGAAATGTGCCTTTTAAGACTTTAATCAAAACAAGTTCAACGGCCATAATTAATGACTGAAACTCGAAAGTTTTAACGAGGAAAGAATTAGCAATTCCCTAAGAAAGACGTTTAAAGCATGCGTTTAGCTCGATCGACAAAATTGAATAATAGTATGAATATATATATTTTATTTGCCTCACTTCTCATATATGTCTAATTTAATGAATAATAAAAAATTAAAAACTCATTGTAGTGACTTTAATAGTCGTCATTATCCATTCGACAAGAATTAAGCCAAATGTATAGGGGCAAGAGTTCCTACATCCTCTCACACGAGGGATCCATCTCAACAAAAAAGTAAAAAAATTACGCATGTGTGTTATTGGTGGGGGTTGGAATTCACATAACCCCCACCTATACACGAAGCATGATTGTTTCGACAAAGTGTCTAGAAAGTCAATATATGAGTCTTTCATAATTGACACAGGATCATAAGTCTCGAGAATAGTTCTGCAACAATGCATCAATACAAATCATTTCAGAATTGAATCGGTACAATATTTCACATTAAAAGGGAATACTTCCGGAAAAAACTTTCTAAAAAAGAAAGAATGACCGTGACACGGCTCCCGTCAACTCAAGAATCAAATTGAGAGAGAGAGAGAGAAGTGAGTGAGGATAAACTTTACCCTCTTAGCGCCTATTTGAGTCACATTATTTTTTTCATTTTCATTCTTCTACTCATTTTTAACTACACATTCTTCAACAAGATAATATTTTCCATCACATCAATAATTTTTACTTCTTTTTCAATCACATATTCCCCTTCACATCACTTCAAAAAAATGCATTTTCTCATTTTAATATGCACCAATCGGGCTCTTAGAAAATTTCACGTCGTTAAGTTTATGCGTCACTAACCGAATATATTGATAATTACATTAGAGTTGATGTCGTAACAAGTTTTCTTATCCTGAATTCAATCCGAAAATTTGCATAATCTAAAATTAAGAATATATTTGATGCATTCAACTAGTTATGGTAGCAATCAAATAGTTAACGTTCTTCTCTTATTTAATTTATATGGTGAATGTTCCATGTTATTTATTTAAAAGTTACTTTTTAGAAATGAATTAAAACTTGCCTTCAAAGTTTTTTAGTGAACAAAATAATAATCTTGAAATTCATGCTAGAAAAAATAAATAAGTAAAAAGTGAAATTCGCTAATTATTTTAAGCACAATCAAATATTTAATCTTTTCCATATAATATACAAAACTAGCTTACTCAAAAGAAATTCGAGAAACTATCACTCCACGGGCGATGCCTAAATGATTAATATGAGCACTGATTAGACAGCACTAAAAATAATTAAAAAATAATAATCATGCATAAATTAAACTAATTCCCATGAGCTCTAGACTAAGAGAATTCTTTGACCCCATCTAGTGCCACTTGCACTTAGAGGAATTTGTAAACAAATTGTGTTTGTTTTAGCTAATTAATTCACAGTATTTAGTCCAAAGATGTCTAATCATGTGGGTAACAAAATTAGTAGAAGCAAGTTTATTGTTAGAATGTGAAAAAGTAATAATTACGATGAAGCAAATTCGCTATTTGCCGTCTGGTCAAATGTCATGATGAACTGGAATGTTGAGTTTTTTCATTGTGAAAAAAAAAAAAAAAGAAAAAAGATTAACCTTAGAGTATCGTGGAGGAGGTAAATCGCGGGACGTACCTCAGCAAGTTAGGGTACAAGAGTTGTCATACTGGTGCTCACAAAGAGTCCAATTCCATACCTTGTAAGAGGTAGGAATCGAACCCTTACATTGCGGCTGCCAACTTAATTGAAACTACCTCACTCCCATCCTTTGCACCATTGAAATATGCCCCCAGGGGCGAGTTTTTTTCTTAGTATGTTGAATTGAGTAAGAAAGAAGAAAAAAATTAATACTATGTCTTTTTTTGGCTTCATTTTCTAAAATTCATTTTACATTTAATGCAAGTCACAACTTTTATTAAATTTTTAATCACGTATTTTATCAACTATTATCAAAATCTACTAAAAATTAAATTTTTATCTAAGCGAATCTGTATTTGAAGAATCGGTTAGTTAGAGTGACACGAACTACAACTCATCTACTAGCCTAAACTTAAAAGTGCCATTTCCATATAATTCCTTAACGCCAACACATGGCCATCCATTCCAAGTTGAGGACCCTAGGAATAGAGTCCTAATCAAGGAGCTTACAATTGGGATACGTAGAAATAGACAATGTTCAACTAGAGGAGACTATTGAAATTTAAATTTGAAGGTGACATCGTAAAGATACGATGATAATGTCTTACTTTTTGGTTATGCATCAAAAGTTAAAGAATATGAATTGAAATTTAAATTTGAAGGTGACATCGTAAAGATACGATGATAATGTCTTACTTTTTGGTTATGCATCAAAAGTTAAAGAATATGAATGTCTTACTATTTAAATGCAAATGTCACTGCAATTGAACAATAACTAAGCAGTAAAAGTTCTTGACATTGATTAGGTTGGCATATATTCCAGACAGCAACCTAAAGAGAGTCTGCAGTTCGTTTTAGGGCATCCAAATAGCTTATCGGCCAAGACGGACAAGAAATGTTCTATACACAGTACTAGACAATAATGAATAATGCGATAAATAAGATTTAAGATGTTTTTATACTTTAATACTATCCAGTATTGTACAATGCAAAGCTTTGCTCAAGAGCGTGCCGCCTCTTATTTTTGTGAAAACTCTCTTTATTCTTGTGAATCAACTAGTTTTTAATTCTATTTCTAACAAGCAAATTTGTTAGCACAGGTACAGTTCATAAGCCAGATTAAATATACTAGAAAAGTTGAAAGAGCAACTTTTTTTTTTCTCTATTTTTATTGATCACAAATTGATATATACACACTAAAATATGATACAGAGGACTAAAATTAACAAAGACAACAAAGTGCACATGGCATCAGGAACTTATAAACACAATTTCGGCTGCTGCCAACTACGTGGAAATTAGGGATGTCAAACTTGAGCCAATCACCTAAAAGCATGTTTGGTAAGCTGGATAGGACGGAACTGGACAGTAATATGAATAAGAATTTAGCTTCATTTTCTTATTTAATACTATTTCGTCTTGTCCGATACAGTGTACCAAATATGCACTACTTCTTTAAAACAAGCCTTCCGCCTTTGTCTTTTTTATCTGAAGGATTAATAGTAGCTATCCTTCTTAAGTTTTTGAAGAGTATAGCTTCACTCAGCAGTAGTTATTCTGATACTGATGTGGTCGGGAGCTGTCAAAGAATGATCGTCCTTGTATAATTCCACCATCGTCGTGAAATCTGTCGACCTACAATCAAATTTAGATTTGTCTTAAGACGAATATTAGTGCATAAACAGAGTAAATAAATGATCTGCTATAACATTTACATAAGGTCCAATCCGGGCCGGCAGTGCAAGGGGGTTTTGGCTGCCACCCTAAATAATGTTTCTCAAAACTTGAATTTAATCGTCTCAAGGCGGAGTAAACAAATGATTTATGAAAACATGAACCTAAACAGCCAATGCAGGCCGGCAGCGTAGGCCGGTTTTGGCTGCCACCCTCAATTTTGTTTTTCTCATTCCAATACTTGAATTTTGAAGAGTATTTGTTTGGACTCAAGCTTTTTCCAAAGGATACGTCAATTTCACACATAAAGATCCATCATAAAGTGGCTTAAAGCAAATAAATGAAAAACTTTATGACCGTTTATGTAATAGAAAGTTGGGGAAGAGAATATTACCCAAAGATCATCTTCTTCTTCATATCTATTACACACTGAAGCTTTGTGAGTCTCTCGTGCTTCATCGTTCCGTGCAAATCTTCCACGTATTCTTTGTCGATTGTCGGCCAGCGTCTTACGGCACACATACTTTCAAAATCACAAGAACAAAATCCCAACAACGTTTTTAGTTTAACCATAAATACCTATATAATAGACATTTGATAAATCAAGTCAAATGATTGACTTGATTGCTGTGTTAATATTACCTTAATTGTCCTGTTGAAGTTTCTTTTAGTTCTCTTTGCTCTGTACCTATCAATCCTTTCTTTCCTCTCTTCTGCAGTATACCGCCAGGCTTTAACATTTGCTTCTTCATTCAATGACTTTACGTTTGATAATGGACTTGAAGACGACAAATTTCGGGTTTTCATTTTTGCTTTCATCTTCTGGAAATAGAAAATTCAAAACATGATAAGATATAATCGACATAACAATGAGAAAACTGGATCAATAATTGCAGAAAATTCACACAGGCCCTTTAAAAGTTAACAGAGCTTTGAACCATGAAAGTTTAAGCTTTTCAAAGAGTGATTTAACATGCTATCCGAGCAGACAAAGGTCCTCAATTCAAGTCTTTCCGTCACTTATTTATGAAAAATTGTGCTTGAGTCAAGACTATGGTAAAATAATGAATTACACCGTGACGGCCAGCTTTCAGACGACATGGTTCAATGCCAACTGACCTGTAAATCTCCAGTGCTACAAACCCTTCTCATTTGACCAGAAGAGAAACTGCTTTCTGGGGAATTCAGCATATCATTTTGCAAATTTTGAGACTCAAAAAGATTATCAAATCGAGGTTGAAACAGAAAATTCGGTTCATTTACAAAAGAATTGCTGCTATAACTCCTGTGCATGAACTTCACTGCAGATTCAGCAGCACCATCATAAATCTCATGGGGATTTGAATTTCCAAAATCCGAGAAACTGTCAAAAGGGAATTGATCTTCCTTTGTTTTAACCTCTAAAGTAAAATTCTCATCATTTGTTAAATGACACGAGGACAGATTCTCAAACTGAGTACTGGCAATTTGGTCCAAAGAATTGATTTCATCAAAAGGAATTTTTTCTTGAAGCAAATTTAAACCATTTTTGCCATTTTCTTCAAGTTCTTGGAAAATATCATGAAATGGGTGAATCGGAGAATCAGAAAATGGATAAGAAAACACTGGGTTTTCGAATACAAATAAATCAGAAGACATTGACAATAATTATCTCCAGAACAAGAAGAAAAACTCTGTTCACGCCTCTTGTGTGTGCAAAAATAAAGTTAATGCATATTGATGAAGAAACAATAAAACATAGAACTAAAAAAAGAAGGACCCAAATAGGGACAATTTGAGGAGGCTGAATTCTTTAATGAGAACCCTTGTCCATAGCTGAGCTTGATGACAAGAATTCAATTTTTTCTCTCTAAAATTTTGTCACTTTCTTTCTCACACAGACACACAGTGGGGGGTGGGGGGAAATTTGTTTTAAAAAAGTATTTGCAATGAAAGCTCGAACTTGAGCTGTGGTATAAAAAGACAAGGAGACTGTGTGAGAAGCACCTCGATTATTCATTATTTTCCGCAAAACTTTAATAATGTTAGTGTTAAATATAGGATTTTGGTTGAGAATTGACGTAGACATGATGATCAATTTTTTTAATGCGTTCAAAAAAATGTTAAAAAATTAGATAGTAAGACTTGGTTAGCTCAGACGAGTCATACCTCGTAGTGGTGAGAATTGAATTGAATAGAAAATTAGAAAGACTCATAATTTTATTTTTTTTTTATTCAATAGACAATTAATTCTTTGTAAATGGTTTTTATTTAAATTTTAGAAACTAATAATAATATAAATTATTCTCGAAATAAAATTTTGAATCAAGAAATCAACAACAAAATTATTCTAATGCAACTTGAGGGTAAATAAAGTATATTTATGAAGACAACTTTAGATTACCACTCTAATTCTTTATATTTTCAAAACAAGCTACAATGTCTTTAAGTAGAGATGGCAAAATGCGTTGGCCTAACAAGGAAGGGACGGGGATAAGGAGAAAAACATGATCTCCATCTCAACTCTTATATTTTATTTCATGTCATTATTGTAAATATAAATTATATTAAAAAATAATAAATACTTTAATCTCCTTCTCTACCATGCCTCCCAAAAATCTCCGAGGACAAAAAGAGCATCCGCAATAAATTTTAATCCCAATTTTTATGTTAATTGTGATTTTTTGAAGAATCTGTGATTAAAAAATAGAAAAATATTTTCGATTTATGTGTAAAATATTTTATTGTTTATATACGCGATTAAAAACAAGTTTAAGAAAAAAAAAAGAGTTTGGTTTTAATGGATGACAAACGAGGGCTCAGTCACCAATGGGCAATAAGTAAGCAACTTATCGAAAAGTTAGGAATAAAAATGCACATGTATGATGTTATCTTTGCACAAGTCTAACCATTTAGACGCGCAAACAATAAAGAAGTCTATCATGATCCGTTGAGACACATCTTGCGATTTACCTCCTCCACAATGCTCTAGGAGTGGGGCGGGACGTTCAATGAGTTTTGCTACGCAAACAGGTCCACAGGTATTTAAATAGATACACATGGCACATTTTAATTGACAGTTTAGAAAAATAAAAGAAAAAGGCTGCCAACCAAGAATCGTCATTTCGGCCCTTGGAAACCGTTTAGGCTGTTCAAACAGCTTTTCTCTCATTACACGCCTACAATGTCTTCGCTCCAAGGAAAGTAAAAGAAAAAACGCCAATATTCTTCGGAAAATTAATTTTAGCTTGACCTGGAGTGGGAACAATCATTCCTCTTTTGGAGGTGGCGAATTGACTAATTGAATTTTGTTTTTGCAAATAATAATAGATAAGTAAATTTTTATTAATTAAATAATCAATTGTTTTTTAGATCAACAATTAATTCAAGCTTAGATAAGATAAAGGTAGCGTACATCAACCCTAATTTAATTATTAGGAGTACGTGAAATTTTTTTCCGAAAGAAATGAGTAATAACTAGTTCAAAACTATATTTATCAATTCAGTTAATTTGAGAGAGAGAGAGAGAAGTAATTCGATGCAAAATAAGTTTTCGAAATAACGTATTTCAACAATAAATCAAAGAGAAACATGTCGATATTTTGTTTTTCTTATTTTCCAAATTCAAAAAATAAATAAATAAATAAATATATATATATATATATTACCGAATCTGATACAAAATGCTGACGTGGCATTTTTGAAGTTAAAATACCTGCAAATGATACAAAAACAAAATAATGAAATATCATGAAATCTCGCCCGCTCACAATAAAACCCCCAAAATTGCCCAGATCCACCCTGCCCCGTCGCCAACTGTGAAATCACCACACCCACCACTGGCCACACGTTATAATAAGGATACTGGAATAATTCATATCTCTGAAAAGCTTTGGGCTGTACCTATTATTATGAAAAATCAGTGCATATACTTGGTAAGATCCATTTCGAACAAAGTGGGTTTGGACAAATTACTTTGTTGAAGTTGAGGAATGCTTCATTTACTTGGTAGATTTTTTTCTGTTCATAGCGTGCAAATTGCTTCAGGTTGTGTGAAATAGGTTTTATGTGGAAATTCATACTGCTTGAGTTTAGTTACTGAAGTTGAATGCTTCATTTATGTGGTGTTCAGCCGTCATTCAAGTTTTTCCCATGGATTATTAACATATTATTTTATTTTTGTCTCAGCATGCAAATCAGTCGGACTTGGTGATTTCGCTCAACTGGACCATGCGCATGGGGAAACGAGTTTCAGAAGATTTAATATGAAATATGTCTATTTGGATGACCTCGACTTATTATAATTATTTGGTTTTATGAACAAGACTTTCGAATGGTGTACTTCGCCTGGTTTCGTATCAATTTTAGGTGTTTAATAATGTCATGACCACTATGTACTGTGATTTTATGTGGATAGTTTTAATATCATTTTGTTATGTTTCTAGCTAAAAATCAATAACCAACACTAGGCATCGTAATATGACAAAAGAATCAACAACCAATCAGAATCATAACATGCCAAAAGAAATGCATTAAATCAGATTGCTCCAACAATTACGTAAACACAAAGTGTCTACATTAATCCACAAAATAACCACAACATCAAATACTCCAGTTAGAATTAAGCCAAAATGTATAAATTAGATCATGCATGTTAACTGTTTACAAAAATTTACAGCCGAATATTTCTGGATGCTTTAGACCCCTAAATCAAAATCACCCACTTGAGGCTTCAGATTTGCATTTGTACTACTTATTCAACGGCCCTCCCAAGAGTCCCAACTACATGTAAACGTTACATAACGTACGACCCCGTCGTCACCTTTCCTCAAAGATCTTTTCCTTACCGAAAAATTCAAACACCTCATTTTCATCTTAAAACTTCATTTCAACACTGGCACAAAAATATCAGTTCCTTCTCCTAAGCTCATATCAATCGGATTGTAGTCTTCGGATGAATGAATTCCTAAATAACCTGCATTTACGACAAAGGAACAGTTATTTGAAATCACAATCTATGGAGGCTAAGGAAATGTTGATAGATGAGAAGACATAAACGTGGGTAACAACAAAAAAAACTTGGGGCAACAGCAAACATTTGGTCTCTAAGCATCTTCATGTTTTCCCTCTCAAATCAGTCGTACAAAATCCCAAAAAAATTGTAAGGGCTTTAACTGATTTCATCAATTAAATGCATCTACTTTGACATGCCCGTCGAACATACTACATATTGCAGAAAATAACACTGGCACAAAAACGTCAACTCTTCCGACCGCAAACTACCTATTTCCGTTGTCTATTAACTTTAGCAAAATGATGATTAAGTTAAAAACATCTTACCCATGTCGTAGCCGGCGTCGCAGTTGTCAGTGTGGGAGTTGCCGACTTGGACTTCATCTTCGTCTCCATAATAGAATGTCTCAGCGTCGACCGCAAATGAGGGTAAGAATAAGGGGTTCACTGACTTGTGGACGCCGTCGTCCAAGTCGCTGGCATCATGGAATGGGTTTTCAGGTTCCTCCATTTCGTTGTCACCAGACGTACTTTGAGTAAAGGAATGAAAATGATTGGAGGGGTTGTCTTCATTTAACAAAATGACGCCTTTTATTTCATTTTTTTTATTGACAAGTGAGATATTGAAGTCAAACCTCCTCCACCACGTCAACTTGTAGTAAACCATTTTGTATACCAGGAAATTCGAAAACAGTGAGCAAATTCGAAAATTCCATAAATACAAGTTAAAATATTATTATTAAAATAAAAATTAGAAGATAAGTCAAGTCGCCCTGCGCTAAGTCTAACTTCGTCGAAATTCCCAGCCAAGACCCAGCTCACGTCTTCGCAAGTTGACCTTTTTTAGCGTGACTCTACAAAGTACAAACTCTGTCTTCATCTTCAACATTTTCAGAATCTGAGGAGCAGATCTTCCCTTTTACAGATAATTTTAGGAGAATAAGTGAAATGGCGAATCAAGAGCACTTGGAAAATTTGAAGCTCCGACAGAACTATCGTAACCTATGGCACACCGATCTGATGCGCACTATGCAAAATGATCCTCCATGTATACTCTTGTCTCTTTCTTTTTTTTTTTTGGGCAAGAACTTTTTTATTTTTAGGAAAATGGAATTAAGAGTTTTTTTTTTGTGGACTTAGTTTTATTTTTTGCGGTTTGCAGATTGTTGCTTGGCGTTTTGGTGGTAAGTAAATATGATCGGCTTTTAAGTTTTGGTTTTGGTCTGATTAGATCCTATTTTTGAAGTGCTTGAATGTGAATTTGGTGTTCACAGTTTGATGTATATGATTTGAGAAGTGAGATTACGTTATATTTTGGGATCGAATTTGGTACTCTGTGGACTTATTAAAACTAGGATTGACTTCTTTAAGGAATTTAATTCCCTTTTATGAAATTGAATTGTAAATTCATTGTTTTTGGTGAGTTTTTGGTTTGATGGACTATACCAGCATTGAGTATCAAAAATATCAAGATCTTGTCAAAAAGAAAATTATTGTTGTTTTCTTCTTTTGTATTTCACTCGGATTTTATGTAGTGATAAAAATAAAATGCATGGGACTTGGATTAGTTGGGATGGGATGAATGATGAGCATCAAACAAATATACTATCTTTCGCATTTGTATCCAGTGATTGAATCTGATCTTCTGAACTATTTCTGCTCAAGTAGTGAGATGACATGACATGGAAGCTAAGCTCATGGAATCAGAAAGGATTAAAAAAATTTTGAAGCTGCTGCTATGTTTATGATTCTCGCATATGGAGGTTTATATACATCTGCAGCTCCTTTTAAATAAATGAAAAGGAAAAGGAGAGAGAAGATCCTCTTTTCTGTGCTGCTCTTTTTGGAAGGGAAGTAAGAAAACTCGAAAGAGAAAAACCACAGTCTGAAAATTAAGAGATCAGCATGTTTCGGTTGCCTGCTAATTTAGCAAAAAACAACTCGTTCACTCATTGTTGGTCTAGTTCCTACCTGATGTAGAACTTACATTGATTGGTGGAGATTTTCGGTCTTCAATGAACTTATGGAAAAAAAAACTTCAAGAAGTTTCTTAGTGGTTAAAAAAATTGAGAATCTCACTCTGTGATCCACTTTGCCCTTTATGAATGGGTTGGCTAATTGTCTACTATGTTACTTCAACATAAGATAGACACATCGCTTCATGGCTTTGTTGAAAATGTGATGCTGGTAGCTGAAACAATTAGAATTCTTAGAACAATTTATATAAACAATTATGATTAGACCTTGTTCAGTATCTCCAAGTGAGATTTGCTCCAAATATTTTATGAACCTCAAACGACTCGGCCTTTGAATTAGATGTTTATATAACTATATGATTGGACCTGAGCAAACGATACCAAACAAAAGACTTTGAAAGTTGCTGTAAATGTTATCTAAAATTTTGGGTTAATTTCTGGAACTTTTCATACGCTTGTTACCAGTAATCTCTTGCTCAAAATTTATTGAGTACGATTTATTTTCGAGTTCTATCTGCAAACTTCAACTTTGGTGTCCCTTACTCTATATGAGTGTAGCATGAGTCTTGGAAAGTGTTGCATTCTATCTGTAATGCTTCACTGTGATATCCCTTCTCAGAATAAGTATAGCATGAGTGTCAGAACGTGTTTCATTCAGTTTAATTCGACGTGCTTGGAGAAGACTTTTTTTTTCCTTCTTTTTAACCCTTTAGTTAAATCATTGAGATACTTACGAGTAAATTTAAGGTTCTGAAAACCGTAGGTTTGCTGCTTAGTTGGATCATTTAGGAGATATTTTCTTTGATGTTGATATTGATCTTTTAGTTACAAACTTGTCCATTCTTGTACTGATCTCGAAGGGTAAAATAAAGATGACAATTAAAAAAAAATAAAAAATCTGAGTAGATGGAGATGACAAAACTGGCTTTTCCTGTGGGACTAGTGCTGAGAAAGAAAAGCCTTTTATTTTGCCATTCACCGTGTGAATGCAACTTCAATTCTATGGACATTTACACTTATTTATGCATTAATAAGCTATTTCTGATCTGTATCTAAGTGTAATGATTTCAAAATACAGTGGACCCTGTGTATCATACATGCTCCGCAAACGAGCACTTTACAATGACATGTCCAGGTAATTGAAGTTTTCTCTTCTCGTTAAGCTCTCGCTTGGACCTAACTATTGGTTTCATAATTCGTAAAGATTTCTGGTGCTCGCCATAGGTATGTCTGCTGTGCTGGTTATATGCCCTGTAGTGGGAGGTGTGGAGAAAGTCGTTGCCCTGAGTTTTGCCTTGCTACAGAGGTAAATAAGAGATTGATTTTGGTGGTGGTGAATGTTGTTTTTGTTATCACTGTTTTCCTTCTACTAATACCCAGTTATACAAATATTGTTATTGTCAAGACTAAGGCTGCTTGGTTCTTGAGAAGCTTTTTTTTTTGTTAAGTGGTTAATGTTGAATCCATTGGAAAATGGGATAAATTTTCAATTTTTTTGTCTTGTGTAATTTATATTACTTTGACCTCTGTTTGTAACCTTGTTATTTATTCTCTTTTGAACATTTATATCTTATGATATAGGTAAGTGCAAAGATAAAAAATATATGCACTTGCCTCATAGGAATAGGAACTTAATATCTTCTATTTAGAAGGAGCTTGTGACAAGGTATTGTTCTGTCAATATCAGCAGGAGGTTTTTCTGTAATTGACTCATCACTTCGCATGTTGGAGATGGAACCCTTCAATTATTAGGTGAAAATAAAAGGAAAATGACCAAATGAGTGGGTTTGGGAAGCATCAAAGGTCTGAATGTTTTGAGATGGTCATGTAGCTCAAAACAATACCATACCATCTTTCTATTTATCTGAGGCAGCAAGTGCTTTCACATCTCTTCTAACTAACACACACATGCAAAGATAGAAAACCACTATATGCAACGATGCCTTATAAATCTTATCTGGGTTATACTTGATTTTGTTCCTTCAGAGTACTGATTAGACTTTTCTACGATGGCGCTATAGCAACATAATGTGATGTTGTTGCCGGTTAATGCAAATTGTTTTTACATCATTCTGGACTCCACCTGCTGTTCTTTGTGTCAAAAAGTATGCAATGTATAATGGCAGAGAACAGAGAACCAACTGTTGATAAATCCTCCCTTCAGATCGAAGGAATTAGATTTTTCTGGTCAGGTTCAAATTTCAAATGCTGTTCCATTTTAGCCTTTCTTAAAAGGATGTGGGATTGTTTTTTCCTTGCAACAAACATGAGAGTATAGAAGCCAAGCTTACTGAAAAGCCTATTCTCGCCTTAGTAACTTGTATTAAAATATCAGCTGTCTGGAAAGATCACTGTTGCTTTGATTCTAAAAGTAAGCCCCCAAAAGGTTTTTTTTTTTTGAGAAAATGAGTTTTGGAATAGTGATTTTTTGAAGAATGTGCTGTTATAAAGTAGGGAAAAATTTTGGGTTTACGAGAAAAATATTTTATTGTGAGAATGCGTGATTGAAAATGAGCTTTTGAAAAAAAAAAAAAAAGAGTTTTTGAAAAATGGTAGACACATAGGAGCTTTAAATTAGTTAGGAATGATTCTGGTTTAAGTTCATATGGTCTATTATGGAGTTATTGAATCTGCAGTCCTTAAAAGGACTTTCTGAGTTTCTTTCAAATTGTATATAGCCCCTGTTTGATACAAATTGTTTAAAACTAATTTTCAATCACATTCTCTCAATAAAATAATTTTGCATGTGGATCCATAATTTGTTGCTACTTTTTTTATCACACATTCTCCCAAAAAATAAATAAATAAATTCACTTTTCACAATCTATTCTCAAAAATCTACTTCAAACAGGCTATTAAAGTGTTTGCATTACTAACATCTTTCTATTCTTTTTTATGTTTTTTGTTTTTTCCATTCCTTTGCTTACTAATTTTGTCTTCCTGCATAAAAAATTGAAATTTTCAGGTTCTCTTGTGCTTTGGGAATTCAGTTGCCTCGACCCGATTTTTGTTGCAAGATGAATTCAACATACAGACAACACAATGCGACAATTGCATCATCGTACTCTCTCCCCTATCTCTTTCTCAATCTCTCCACATCCGCACAGAAAACATGTATAAGTACTTTCTTGAAGTGCCTGTACCTGATTCGATTAATTTTGTTTGTTCCAAATATCAAGGGTTTCATGTTCTGCCTCCAACAAGTTGCTTGCATTTTTTCCATTGTTGCAATGATTGTCGGAAGTCAAGAAATTTCAGAGGCTTCTCAGATTCTGTCTTGCTTGGCTGACATGGTCTATTGCACGTAAGAAACCTTAGTCTCCCTCTTCATTCAGCAGTCTCCGTTGATGCATCTAAAAATCTCCTTCTCATATCATTATACAATTTTGGTTTTGCAGGGTTTGTGCTTGTATGCAGGTAAGCAAGAATTTATCAATTTAAATTGTGAATTGAAAAATGTCAAAAAGTTTTGGATAAAATGCCGCTAATGTTGTAATTCAAGATTAAATACGTATATCTTTTAGTATTGCGTGTTTGCGGATTCATCCTTTTGCATGGTTTCTGTTAATGTCTGTGTACTTCAGACACAACACAAGGTCGAAATGGACAAACGGGATGGTAAATTTGGCCCACAACCAATGGCAGTGCCTCCACCCCAGCAAATGTCGCGCCTTGATCAGCAGTATCCTCCCACTGTTGGATATCCTCCACCTGCATACGGGCAATCTTATTATCCACCTCAAGCTTCTGGGTATCCCCCCGCCGGCTACCCCCCCGCCGGTTACCCTCCTGCTGGTTACCCTCAAAAATGATATTTCTTGAGTTTGATGTGAAAATTGCTCTTAGTGTGCACTATTTAATAGTTGTCACTTCATTTATCGTAATCTTAGATTGTGCGTACATCTTGAACGTTGTGATATAATTGCATGTTTGTGAAGTTCTACAATTTCAGGCATATTGTTTAATGCAAATATGGCGCCTCTATGTTGAATTTTTCAAGTTTTGTTTGAGCATTTTTAAATCTATTACCGGTTTAAGGTACAGTTTTTGAGGACATTTGATTTTGTTTCTTTCCTGTATAAATACTTCATCGTTGCAATTGATCTGCAAAGAATATCACAGTACGCTAAATCTAGAAGAAACCGAAAACTAGAGGAGATCAAGTTCTCTTTAACACGCAATATTATAAATCCATTCGTTGGAAGGGTGCAAAAAAAAAATGATTTGTGGGAGCTTTTACCTTTTAACACTAGTTTTTAATCTGTCAAGTTGGTAAAGGGGCTAGTTCTACTCTTCTAGAAGGCTAAAGCTTAGATATGTGTATATGGATAGAGAGGTGATTTATTAAGCAACGTTGCTTGGTTAAAGTGTTTGTTTGGAATAAGATTATTTGAAGTGAAAAATGACTTTTTAGAAGAATGTGTAGTTAAAATTTTGAAAAAAAAAAAAAAAATTTATGGATAAACGCGCAAAAAATATTTTATTGGAAGTATCCATAGTTTAAAATGAGTTTGAGTAAAATGAATTTCATAAAACTTGTGCCAAACAAATACTAACAGTGGTATAGTACATCAATTCAGTAGTAGAACAACTCTTAGGTTACTTCGTTCCATTCGTGGGGGATAATCACACTAAACATCTAAAAGCACCAAACAAATATTTGAAAAATAATATTGATAATCGAGTGAAGGTGTTGGACAACCCAAAGCCTGAAGCCAATCACATTTCACTCTTTTGAGCTAAATTGAATACCATGTTGGATTATCTTGTACTTCTCAACCCCGAATGTTAGCTCAAGAGACGAAGTTTTTCCCATCACTTATAAATTAATTATCAACCCTCCCACAACTAATGTGGGATAACCTCAACAATTTCCATTTCGTCGCACATCGTGCCCTGTGTGAGAGCAAATTTGTATATCCTGTGAACTGTTGGGCCGAGACTTGTTGGTAACATGTGCTCTGATACTAATGTTGAGTGATGTTAAACCTTCTAAACCCCAAACGCTAGCTCAAGAGATGTGATTTTTTCTCACAATTTTAAATTGACCATCTGCCTCTTCCAAAACTGATATGGGATAATCTCAACATTCCCTTCTTCTGCAAAAGTTTGGATATTGTTTATTAATGCATATTGAAGATTTTCCTTTTCATTCATTCATTTTATTTATTTTTTATAGACGTCTACTTCTATAACATTTAACCGCCTGAATTCGACGTTTCCAAGTTATCACTTAATGTCGATCAAATAGAAAATAATCAAAATATTTGTAAAGAACCGGGGTGAAAATAAAGGAACCAGACGATTAGCCTACCCAAGAATTCCCAGGATTTTAAAAATAAATTTTCTTTTCTATTTATTTTTTTATTTCAATTAAATAACCACATATGGAGTATTATGGCAAAGTTTGAGCAATATTTTAAAGCTCAATGATGTAAAAGTGAACCAAATTAATTGTTAGGACAATTATCCCTCAAAAGTGAATAATAAATACTTCGTTATCAGCAGAGACCATAGCATCCTTCGTGATGTCCGACGATATTAGGGGAGACCATTGTTGTCAGTGATAGCTGATTGGTGTGCTCAATAATCGCTGATCGTGTTTACTGTTGGGTATCAATGGTGATTTTGTCTGTGATTATTTTTTTATGGTTGTTTTTTAAAATGCCCCCTTAAATATTTTTGCTAAGACTCCCAGGTTTTTTGCATCACTTCTAATTACGATTTTTAGAAGATTATGATATATTTTATCACTTAACAAAAAAGAGGTTTTCTAAACTCAATTTTGTGCACAAGTCTCGATATTGTCATCATCCATGACTTTATACCTAACTCAATATCGTTTAACTAATTTAAAAATTAAAAGATCTCTCATTAAAGATATTTAAAATTAAAAATAAAGTATCCTAAATAAAAAATTTGAGTCTTAAATCGTTTTTATTTTTATTTTTTTGAAAATTCATTCAGGAAATGACTTGATTGTTCCAAAAATAACTATAACTTTGAATTGCACCACAAAAACCACTGGACTTTAAAATGTTGTTGAAACATCATTGAGCATTGTAAAAATGCTCTCAATTCATCGTTGTTTGAAGAAATTAAATGGTAATTTATGCCACACGTGAATTCCCTCTACCACATAGACAGTTCTATCCATCGCATTTATATAGACTGACTTTTCTTATTTTATTGTATAAGTTATACAGTCATGTTTCTTTATTGAAAATACTTTGTTTTGTTCGTTTACTAATATATCCTTATTTAATTTGTCTAGATATAACTAATTTTTCTCAATTTACTACTAGTTGTTGATAATTAAATAAAGGTAAACTAGAAATTTTTTTGGCAAAATTTATTTTTTTTAATAATATTAAATAAGATTTCTTAATTCGTGTGAAAAAATAAAACCAACATATAAATAGAACGGAGTCTTTACTCCAATTTGATGCTACTAGTAAATATGTCCCCTTTCTTTTAAAAGAATATGGTTCGTCGGCCCATTAAAAAACAAAAACACTACCTTATTTAGGAGGCTGAATCCATGAAAATGACTTCTAAATTGAAATTAATTTTGGATAGCTAAAAAAATTATTAATAATTTACAATATATTAAAACTGTGAATTGAGGAGAAACTTTTGAATACCAATTTCACTCTTATATATTTAGGTATATGACATTTATATCCTTATATATTTAATATAGTACCATTTAATATAATTTAACTTCATATATATTCATTTAAGTGTAAGGCCATTATTTTATATTGGAGTACTTAGAATTTTACATTAATCAAATTTAGTTTAATTACTTAAATTACATTATTTAAATTAAGCTTACTACTTAAAATCGAAGCTCACATAGATAGATGTAAGTTTATTATAATTATATAATATAATATTTCAAAGGTTGCATTAATATAATGGTAGATTAGTTAACATATAAAATAATATTTATTATAATTTTAATATAATTATATATATAGACAACTTCGATTTTATGTGATTAAACTTAATTTAATTAATATAAAAGTATGTGTACACTAATAGGAAAAATGAACTGTATATTTAAAAGCAGATTACATGAAGTTAAATTGTAATTAATTTATCATTAATATCACCTTTAACATATTGTAATATTATATCATATGTACATGGATATATATTATATTATGTATTATTTATATACATGAGTTTCAATTAAAATCAACGTTACTTATATAATTATATTATAATTACAATAAATATATAAAAGTAAACTGTGAAAATTGATGAGAAACGTTCAGTTTGTCATTTTGTCCTTATATAACATTGTTAACATTTTCATTCAAAGATTATAAATTGCACGTTTAATTAATATAATAGATAATATAACTATTTAAATAAAAATGACAATAAATTGAAAAGAAAAAAATTGTTTAAATGTAATCAATAGTTAGGAAGTAAAACATAGGAGAAATTATCCATCAATCTTTTAAACCTTACTAATTACTCTTAATAATTAGGAATTACTTATCCTTCCCATGTTAATATCCATCCCACTAAATACAAGCTCCACATTTCGATTACACATTTTTCACTAAAACTAAAATTTTAAATATTAATAAAAATGAATATTATGTGTTCTAAAAAATAATTAATATAGTATTGGATGTTTTATTATTATTGCATGTTCATTTTTGTATAAGCATAAAAACTGATGATAATCCCGTTACATATTTGTAGCCTATTTGAGCTCCATTTTTTTTTTGTTACAAATGCATTTTGGAATGATGGATTGATGGAAATTGTATAGTTAAAAAATAAGGAAAAATTTTGGGTTTGCATGTAATATTATTTTAATGAAAGATGTGGTTGAAAATAAGGGAGAGAAAAATATATGTTGAAAATAATGGGAATCAAACAAATATAAATATATGAAGAAAAGAAAAAGATTTTTATCTCAATACATTTAAAAGGAGAATTTGTATTCCTCCATTTGTAGCATTAATATGACGAGCATGATTAGTACGTAATTTTTTGTTTCTAAATGTGTTTAAATACTATACTTTTTTGTTTTTACTTTTTAAGGTAAAAAAGTTCATGTTACAGATTGTTGGAATATAAAGCCCAAATCAACAACAACAGTCCAGCAGCCCAACAACAACAGACCAGCAGCCCAACAGCACATTATCCAGCCCAAATCAGATTCCATTGTTTTACCAGCAACACCAGAACACCGGGCACCAGCACAGCTCCTCTTCACGTGTTCAGCCCCTGCTTCCAGCTACAGATTCTAGCATATTCTAGTTGCTTCTTAAGTTTGTTAGATTGTTAGTTTGTTAGTAATTGGTTAGCTAGTTTACCCTATAAATAGACTTGTTACTCGTAATATCTTCAAGCATGAATGAATAGAATTTCATCATCTTCCCTGCTGTTATTTTACAGCAGGTCTACCCGGTATCTTTCTGTCCTTTATTTTCGTTCAGTAGATTACAGCTTCTGTCTGTTATTCCCAGCTTCAATCTCCTATCAATTCCTTGATTTTAAGATGGTATCAGAGCGGGTTTGATCCTTTCATCTGAAAATCATTTTCTTCTTTCTTTTCTATATTGAATCTATCAAAACCGAGAAAAAAAAAAATTTCCCAAAATCAGAAAACACAAAAAAAACCAGAAGAACAGATTAGTGAATTAGTTCACTAGATACTCGAAGAAATGTCGAAATGGATTTATTCCTCCTTGAGGATTTAGTGTAGCAGATCAATTACCAGAGAGGTAATTTGCTATTAAATTCGGAATTGATTTCCAGACAAAAGGAAATGGAATCTGCTGTACAGCAAAAAACTGAAAGGAAGAAACCAGAATTGAAGATAGATTAGATCTTCACAAATGGTTGATCTACTCCCAGAAAGGGAGTCTCTGTGGTACCTTAAAGTCATATATGTCTTCAACAAATACCAGCCTGCTTCAAGAGTGAATGTACAGGCGAGAGAATGATTGGATTTAAAAAAATTGAATGATGAAACATATGGAATTTTATCTTCTGAATGAAGATATGAAGATGATTGAAACAAGGAATTGTTTCATTGAAAACGAGCTTCCCAGGAAGCTTCAAAACCTGCAGCCTACCAGTCTTCAAAAATGTTCTACCAGCCTACCAGTTCATCATCAGATCAGTTCAAAGTTTT